AATATATACTTTAACCAGTGTCCGCCCGCCCATCCACTACTCCCCTTCTCAGAAAATATAAGTGTCTCTCCCACCCCCTTCCCGGAAAAAAAAAACTGGCTAAAAGAACCACCAGACAAAACATAAACGAAATAGGATTCCATTATATTCCTTTGTTAAAACTGATCACCTCAATGACATAATCATATCATTGACGTTTATTTCTGAAATCAAGCGCAGAACGTCCCACACATTGTGTGTTTCGTTTCGTTTTGTTTTCCCCAGTTTAATTTTACCCAGATCTATTTTTGGGCTGATTTTTATAACATACATTAGCTGTGTTTGTCTCTTTCTCTGTGAAGCGCTAACACGCATGTAGTAAGCGGTGATATCAAGACTCACGGTATAGCCAGACGGATGTTTAACAACCAGGCGATGTACAAAGCTGGGGACAACATAGAGTTAGCACATCTACAACCAGCATAGAGTCAACGAATGGTCAACAAATGGTCGACAAATGGTCAACAAATGGAGAAGAATTGGTCAAATGATGAGAACGAACAACCACGGAAATCAACTTGAGAAAATTAAATCGGCGTTAAGAAAATTGAAGCTGTTCTACAAAATTACGTTTAAGATATAGGAATAAAACAAGGAAATAAAACTCGTTTTCAGTTCATTATCATATTTTACAGAAGTTTACAGAAAAACAGATATTTGTAATTAGGCATGATTTAATAACTGTCAATAAAACATACTTGAAAAAACTATATACGGACATAATATATTTAGAAAGTATTTCAATGTTCTTTCAACAATATTACGTACATACACAAAAGGTTCAATAGCATTGCTACAAATAAACAATAAAATTGTATTTTTTCAATTTTCAAATAACATGTGAACGAAAAATTGTTTTCAAAAATACTATACGAACAATGACTATTAAAGCGTACTATAATACAAATGAGTGTGTTTTTCACTGCTCTTATTATAATTTTTTTTTTGTAACTGCAATGTAACAATAATAAAGAGAAGTAATTTACTCAAGTTTCCTGTATTGTATTCGACCGCTGGTCAGTTTTGCCTTGACAGATTTTTTCAATCTCATTTTCTTTGTTGTTGCTTTAGTTGTCTTCTCTTGTTTTCCTTGAGGTTTCTTAAAATAAATATTATAATCATAAATGAGAAATGTGCTTTTCTTTGTTACTAGTAGCAATGCTTTGTTTTTGTTAAAGCTTAATTAGTCAAACTGGTTTAAGTAAAAAAAAACGCTACCATTGTAAACATAATTTGTAGGCAATAGTTTATTATGAAAACTGTTTATATATATATATATATATATATATATATATATATATATATATATATATATATATATATATATATATATCATTAAGGTATTATTTCGGAATTAAAATAGCATTTAAAAACGTGCTTTACTTCCCTACCAAAACTAAGCGGTCATGACAATGATAATTTTTGAAAATTGTTCGTGTGTTTATAAAGCTTTCGCGAACTTACGTGGCTGTAAAAAAACTTCGATAAATCATGGACAGCTTTGGCGGAAAGCTTGATACTCTTTGCCTATGTACCGATTCTCAACTTAGATACATAGCTCAACTTAACAGGTGACGTATGACAAGAACCCGCTTGCCCTATCACTCCGTCTTAACTCATTACTCCTGTCCTACAGCTCACCTTTAATTCGTCACACCTACCCTATGTCTCACCCTTAACTCATTACACCTACCCTATTACCCTGAACTCATTACACCTACCCTATCACCCTGAACTCAATACACCTACCCTATTACTCACCCTTAACTAATTATACCTACAATATCACTCATCCTTAACTCATTACACCTACCCTATCACTCATCCTTAACTCATTACACCTGTCCTATCATCCTTAACTCATTACACCTGTCATATCACCCTTAATGCATTACACCTGTCCTATCATCCTTAACTCATTACACCTGTCCTATCTCCCTGAACTCATTACACCTGTCCTATCATCCTTAACTCATTACACCTGTCCTATCACCCATAACTCATTACACCTGTCCTATCTCCCTGAACTCATTACACCTGTCCTATCACCCTGAACTCATTACGCCTGTCCTGTAGTTCACACTTAACTCATTACACTTGTCCTATAGTTCACACTTAACTCATTACACCTGTCCTATAGTTCACACTTAACTCATTACACCTGTCCTATAGCTCGCACTTAACTTAGACACACCTACCCTTGTACTCACCCTAAACTCAGGTACACAACTCGACTCCATGAACCTGAACACGTGACGAAAGAACACAATCAGCACCAGCAGAATGACAGACGGCAGCAGACGCCAAAACCAGATGCTGACGCGCGTCAGCCGGGGAGGGGGTGGTTTGGTCATCTCAGGTCTCTGGTTACGAAACACCAGAGGGGTCAGCGCTGTTTGAGGGTCAAAGAACAAAAAAATAGAACATGATCTAATATTATATAGGGATCTTAGAGAAATGCGTAATAAGAAAAATGCGCGATTGGAAAAATGCGTGTACAGAAAAATGCGCAAATAAAAATGTATTATATTAATTCACTTTAACTTTGTCATATTTCGTGTAAATATGCTTTATTATGCTACAATAAGCATGCAGTCATTTTTTGTTGATTATAAATGCTCGATTTTAAAAACAAAATTGACAAAATAAGTCAACTACATACGCAAACGCATACACATAAAAATTCACATATGCCAGTAGACGTAAGCTTAGACGCAGACATACACGCACCCGCACTTTTTTCTCCGATGCGGGGCTTTTGAAAATAAAATATTTAGGGGGGGGGGGGGGGGGACCACACTGGTAAAACTTTTTTCTATATAATTTCTATTTCATGTGGGGTAGGAGGGAAAGAGACGTTCTTAAGAAGGGAGCCCACCCCCCCCCCCCCCCACCAACCCCCGATAATATGCCTGGAAGAAATTGTGACAATGTAACATATACTCACACACATTGGAGCACAAATATTATAAATATTACATTATCTGTATAATATAAAAATACAATATATTATTTATACATATATTTTTTTTTATTTGTATACATAATTCCCATTTTCTGGATAGATCCATTTCTATTTTCATTTTGTTGCCATGACAACCTGAACCACACCCCCACTCACTGTGCAGGCAGTGGGTGCCGTATCTATTTTTAGGACACATGACGCACGTCCCGTCAAAGTTGCACTCGCTCCGTCTGCACGTCATGCTGCACGTCTCGTCACAGTAGAGGCTGTAGAATGGCCTGGAACATTCTGGAATGGGGAACACAATCAATATGTTTCCCGCGTAAAGTTTTTGTAACATGAAATAGAATATAAAAGTGTGATAACAGGATTGAAAACCTGGTCAAAATGGATGTAGCCAGAAAAATATTTTTCAATCAAAATTGACTTGACTTAGTCCTCTTTGCTCCTTATGGAACATAGGGCCTCCACCATTTCCTTCCATTTCTTCCGATCCCCGGCTATTAATTTTGTCATATATTTTGAATATAATAAGTAAGTAAAAAGTGTAATCGATGGCTTCCAAATGGCTTTAATTTTTAAAATGTAACAATAATTTTACCACTTGCCATATTTTCTTAAAGATTTTAAAATTTAGTACGATTACATAGACTTTTCAAGTCTATCACAGTCATCCCTCGCTATTTCGCGGTTCGCATATAGTGAACAAGGTCAGACTCAAAAACTAAACTACTTAAGTTAAAAATATTATGAACAATAATTAAGATACACTCATAAACTAAACTACGTAATTTGAATATAATATGAACAATAAACAAGGTCCGACTCTGAAACTAAACTACGAACGTTGGATATTATATGAACAGCGACCAAGGTAAGACTCAGTAAATGAACTACCTAAGCTGAATATAATATCATTGAACAAGATAAGACTGAGCATTTCCTTGTAAGGTATTTGCAACATATAGTGAATAAGGTCAGATTCAGAAACTAAACTGCGTAATTTGAATATAATATGAACAATAAACATGGTAAGATGAGCTGTGACCAAGTTAACACTTGGAAATGAACTACCTAAGCTGAATATAATATGAACATTGAACATGAACATTGAACATACGACCGAGCCTTACCCCCGTAGGTCTCCAGATCACACAACGTGAACCTCCCCGCCATCGTCACCTCAACTCTGGCAATCCAAACGGCACCAGTGACCTTGACACGATGAGAGTCTTCCGTGATAGTTCGTGACCCCTCCGTGACAGTTTGTGACCCCTCCGTGATAGTTCGTGACCCCTCCGTGACTGGTTGTGACTTCTCCGTGACTGGCTGTGACTCGTATTTAAAAACAACATGCTCAGAGAAGTTATAGCACTGTATTGAAAACTCTCGCCCCACTGCAGCAGTAGAACCTTTTCGACAACAAAAATATGTTTATTTGTTTGAATAATGGTTTAACTTGAGCTTAAATACTGCACCATTACCTTTCTAAAACACTGTAATTTTTAAAATTGAAACTAAAAATTTAAAAATTCATCACATTTCAATATCATAATGGAAAGAAAATATCTGTTTTGTTTTTATAATCAAAATCTGTTTTCAAGAATCGAAAGGTGAAATCTAGTTAAAAAATTGAATGGATTCAACCCTAAATAGTCTCGGAATAAATCAAAAGGCCCATTAAATATATTTTTTAAAATCCGTGTAGGCCTACGATGTTAGTAAAATAAATATGGTAATAAAAATCTGAATGATTTTTTTATGAGACTTTAATGAAGATACGATGTAATTGATGTTTTTAGCATTTTCGATAACTAAGCAATTCTTTAAAAAAAACTAAAATCAATTTAATTATAGGCATTTATCATATAAACTGTAAAAAAAAACTGGCTAAACCTAAAAATTGTATTGCACAGTTTTGACTATGAGTTGTTTTTTTTTTTTTTGTTGTTTTTTTTTTTTTAAGTGGGTGTTCTCAGAATATCGATCACGGAGTTCATTTACAGCCAATCAACGTTAGTCCTACGAAAGTGAAACATCGGGTTATAACTTAGGCTTGATGAAAATAAATAGATATGTAGCCTTAAACTCAAAAAATTATATTAGTAAGTTCTTAGGATTTGCAACTTCTATAATATTAATTTTAAAATGATCTAGCTGTTACCGGTTAATCAAATAACCCAGCTTAACTTACCGTACTTACCTGTAAAATGTAATATGATCTAGTGGTTAACGGCAAATCAAATAACCTACCTGTAAAATGTAAGATGATTTGATGAATGGTCACCGGATACTCAAAACTGACGACCCCCGTGATCACGCCCCCGTCACTCGTGACGTCAATACAACTGTTCTGCTTGACCTGGTTCGTCACGTCCTGTTTGAGGTCAAGGTTGCTCTTAGCCTCCCCCGTGGTGTTGACCTTGATGTGGACACGCCCACCCAACGCTAGGTTTCTACCTGGGAATTTAAAAATAAATAGAGAGATTTTATGTTGACGTTCGAATGAACGCCGTGGTCAGATGATAGAAATCACGGCTGATAATCCGGAAGGAAACGAGTTCGAATCCCTGGTTTGAGTCCGTATCATGTCCCCGAGCCCACCCAACTCTGATGGGTTCCCAACTCACGTTAGAGAAACAAAGGCGCCTGGGCATAGTGCTGGCCATACAATCTCTTCATATGCCGACGAAACAGAAACAAGTAAACTCTACTTCACTTGCCGCATGGACCATCATTTTCGAAAAGGAAACTTGACTGTTACGCTCTACCGCCATAGGCGTAGTGCCTTATTCCGGCGCCCGGGACGAACTATAAAATTACCCCCCCCCCCCCCGCTTTTATATAGGCCTATATATAATCGCCACCCTCTTGCAGTTGAGATTGAGACGCTGTTTACCGGTCCCTTTCCCTTTTTATTATGGTGTTCAGTCTTTGATGTAGAAACAAGTTTTTAAAAGTCCGCCCAAACAAGTAAAGCTATATATTTTCTCAAACTCGACTGTGGAAATATCAGTAAAGCAGATTTGAACAAACTTTCTACCGATTGGCGCTCTACCCGACCTCTCCTCGCTAAGCCTATGCCAACCGCCTTGCCACACCTTCAGGGGGAGGGGGGTGGAAAAATTTTAATTTGATTTTTTCTGTAAAAATTATCATTTTTTTTTTCTTTCGATTTCTCCTGGTGTGGCCATGGATGCGCTATCATAACATAAGGGCATAAGAAATTTATATTGATGGAGCCTGTAACACAATCCGTTAATATACCTTCATTCCCTACTTTGTTTTTTTTCTGACCAGATTCATAAAAACATTGCGAAAGGCTTATGTGACACGCCAGGCTCTGTAGTCGAACCCCCGGGGAACACGGAAGAGAGGGCGCCCAAGACAGACCTGGAGGTGGAGTCTGAAGTTATGACAGCAGGGAGATTGCAAAATTAATATACGGGGTCGGCGTGGTCGAGTCGGTAAAGCTCATGGTTGCTAAACCAAAAAGTCTCGAACCCTCGGGCAGATGAGGCTCGTTAGCTGGGGACAGCCACAAATCCAAAATCAAACAACTGCTGCCTTGCAGTTTGTTCATGGTTGGACAAAGGCTATGGAAGCAAATCCAAAAAGAAAAGCAGGCATAACCAGTTGAAACGTATACTTAAAAAAAATTAAGTGCCAAAAAGAAGAAAGATCGGGGAACCGGGCATAAATGGAAGGTTATGGTTGAGGCCCTATGTTCTACAAGTCATGGCAATCTAGACAAAAACACAAAACACATACATCCACCATGACGTCACCTACCCCCGTTGACGTGCACCCCACACACGGACGTCCCGTTGTCCAGCGTGACGTCAATGCGTGTGACGTGCATCTTGTTGTCACACCTGACCCTGTGGGTGGTGGACCTGACCAGGGTGGGGACGGGCAGGAGGCACGGGATCTTTGGGTGGGTCTTGTTGCTTAACTCCAAGCTCAGCTGGCCGGAGTAGTAGCCTGAGAATATGTAAGATTATTTGTTACGGTTGAGCTTAATGAGCAGATAATATTAGCTTAATTAAGTAATAGCAAACATTCGGGTAATATGTAACAGCTTAGGTTAAAGAATTAGCTTAGCTAATTAGCGCAGTGTCGCCTAAGATTTTAAACTTCAATTGATGGGTTTGTTTGTTTTTGTTTTCTGGTGTTTTTTTTTTTTTTAATTTAATCGAAAATTAGAAAAGTTTGATATCAGGGGAATGTACTCATGTAATCTCTTGTTATATATAATTTATAGAGTTATTTCCCTTGCATTGTTTCAACTCTCAATTTGTTTCAGTTTTAACACAAGAAGAGTTGCTTGTATTCAGATGTCTGATTCTTATTTGAAAATTTGGCAAGGTCTTCAATTTGTTGCTACACCTCTGTAGCAATGTAGTATTTGACAAGCAATGATTTCCCCACACGATATGACAATAAAATAACAAGGAAGCAAAATGTATCCGAATTCATGCTGATTTTAAAGAAAAATATGAGTCTTCTCGCTTAGGTAACAAATATAATCCGATCTGAAAACTATTTAACTGAATTATTTTTTTTTATAGGAGACTACGCCTTTAAAAAACAAAATTTCCAAAACAAGGACCACCCTTATATATATATATATATATATATATATATATATATATATATATATATATACATATATATGTGTGTGTGTCTGTGTGTGTAAGTGTGTGTGTGTGTGTGTATGTGCTCGCGTGTCTGTGTGTAAGTCTATACCAACTAAGAGGCCGACCTTTGAACTTCAGCCACAGAAAGGTAAAGAAAACCTCCTCCTTGAGCACGACATGAACGTGTGACGTCTTCCTACAAGATGGCGACGCTCCTGACGCCAGACTCTCGGGCTTTACCTCCACTGCCTCAGGCACCACGTCTCCTGGGGTGGGGTTAACAAAAATATAAGTAATTCATAGTAGTGACTTTACTAATTTACTCAGCTTTTCAGGCAAGGATTTTATGATAAGCAGAGGCGTAGCGAGGGATGGGGGTGGGGACCGCACCGAGTGACACCATTTAGGGGGGTGACACAAAGGCAAAAAATTGCAAAATATATAGAGAAAAATGATAATTCCACTTAATTAAATGATTAATTAATTCGAGTGTTAAATAGTCTTTCAAGAGGTTCAAATCGAAAGTTTGAGAGGGGGGGGGGGGGTGCAAATCGAAAGTTTTAAGGGGAGGGTGCAAATCGAAAATTGAAAGTTTGTCCCCGGGAAGGGTCGCTACGCCTCTGGAGGGTGACACCATTAAGTACCGCCCGGGTGACACCCAACCTCGCTACACCACTGAAGATTAGTAATTCACAATTATGGTTAGAAGCAGTGGCGTAGCGAGGTCGGGTGTCACCTGGTGCGGCACTTAATGGTGTCACCCCCCCAGAGGCATAGAGACCCTTCCCGGGGACAAACTTTCAAAATTTTCGACTTGCACCCCCCTCAAACTTTCGATTTGCACCCCCCCCCCCCCTCGAGTTTTTCTCTATATATTTTGCTATTTTTTACCTTGGTGTCACCCCCCTAAATGGTGTCACCCGGTGCGGTCCGCACCCCCCGCCCCCCCCCCCCCCTCTCTACGCCCCTGGTTAGAAGACACAAGTCCGGTTTAAATGTAGATGTTCTCTTTAAAGTCAACTTTTCTAGGCTAATCACAGATTGCAAACCTACTAAATAAACAATTTTACCCGAACTAACTAACACTTTGTATTCTAACTTAGCAGAAAAAAAATTTCACCAAACAAACAGCATACAAACTTAATACACAAACAGCCTTCGAAATTACTATACAAACAGAATTCAAAGGCACAGAAAACAGCATATAAACTTACTAAACAAACAGCCTACAAACTTACCAAATAAACAGTCTATAAACATACTAGAGTAACAGCCTACAAACGTTCTACACAAATTATCTTACAAACCTACGAAACAAACTACATACAAACTTACATAAGAAACAGCCTATAAACTTTCTACACAAACAACCTAAAAAACTTACTAAACAAACTACCTACAAACCTGCTAAACAAACAACCTACAAACCTACTAAACAAGCACCCTACAAACCTACTAAACAAACTACCTACAAACCTACTAAACTAACAACCTACAAACTTACTAAACAAACAGCCTACAAACTTACAAAACTAACAACCTACCAACTTACTTAACAAAGAACCTAAAAACTTATTAAACAAACACCCTACAAACCTACTAAACAAACAACCTACAAACTTACAAAACAAACAACCTACAAACCTACTAAACAAACCCCCTACAAACCTACTAAACAAACAACATACAAACCTACTAAACTAACAACCTACAAACTTACTAAACAAACAGTTACAAACTTACTAAACTAACAACCTACAAACTTACTTAACAAAGAACCTACAAACTTATTAAACAAACACCCTACAAACTTACTAAACTAACAACCTACAAACTTACTTAACAAAGAACCTACAAACTTATTAAACAAACACCCTACAAACCTACTAAACAAACAACCTACAAACTTACAAAACAAACAACCTACAAAATTACTAAACAAACAACCTACAAACAAACTAAACAAACAGCATACAAGCCTACAAACAACCTACAAACAACCTACAAACTTACTAAACAAACAGCATACAAACCTACAAACAACCTACAAACTTACTAAATAAACAGCATACAAACCTACAAACAACCTACAAACTTACTAAACAAACAGCATACAAACCTACAAATAACCTACAAACTTACTAAACAAACAGCATACAAACCTACAAACAACCTACAAACTTACTAAAAAAACAGCATACAAACCTACAAACAACCTACAAACTTACTAAACAAACAGCATACAAACCTACAAACACCCTACAAACTTACTAAACAAACAACCTACAAACTTACTAAACAAACACTCTACAAACATACTAAACACACAGCCTACAAACCTACAAACAACCTACAAACTTACTAAACAAACAACCTACAAACTTACTAAACAAACACCTTACAAACCTACAAACACCCTACAAACTTACTAAACAAACAGCATACAAACCTACAAACACCCTACAAACTTACTAAACAAACAACCTACAAACTTACTAAACAAACACTCTACAAACATACTAAACGCTTAGCCTACAAACCTACAAACAACCTACAAACTTACTAAACAAACAACCTACAAACTTACTAAACAAACACCCTACATACCTACAAACACGCTACAAACTTACTAAACTAACAGCCTACAAACCTACAAACACGCTACAAACTTACTAAGCAAACAGCCTACAAACCTACAAACACGCTACCAACTTACTAAACAAACAGCCTACAAACCTACAAACAACCTACAAACTTACTAAACAAACACGCTACAAACTTACTAAACAAACAGCCTACAAACCTACAAACACGCTACAAACTTACTAAACAAACAATTCTCTCCGAACCAGCCCGGCACACAGCCACCGCCGAACAGACACGCCCCCTCGTAGCTGCAGCCGTTTTCAAGGCAGCGACACACCTGCTTACAGTATCGGCCGTAGTAGCCCGCAGGACATCCTGGAAATATAGAATACAGTAGGACATCCTGGAAATATAGAAATGTAGTAGGACATGCTGGCAATACAAAATATAGTAGGACATCCTGGCAATATAAAATGTAGTAGGACATCCTCAATACAAAATGTAGTAGGACATCCTCAATACAAAATGTAGTAGGACATCCTCAATACAGAATGTAGTAGGACATCCTCGATACAAAAGGTAGTAGGACATCATCAATACAAAATGTAGTAGGACATCCTCAATACAGAATGTAGTAGGACATCCTCGATACAGAATGTAGTAGGACACTCTGACAATACAAAATGTAGTAGGACATCCTCAATACAGAATGTAGTAGGACATCCTCAATACAGAATGTAGTAGGACATCCTCAATACAAAATGTAGTAGGACATCCTCAATACAAAATGAAGTAGAACATCCTCAATACAAAATGTAGTAGGACATCTGGCAATACAAAATGTAGTAGGACATCGTCAATACAAAATGTAGTAGGACATGCTGGCAATACAAAATGTAGTAGGACATCCTCAATACAAAATGTAGTAGGACATCCTCAATACAAAATGTAGTAGGACATCCTCAATACAAAATGTGGTAGGACATCTGGCAATACAAAATGTAGTAGGACATCCTCAATACAAAATATAGTAGAACATCTGGCAATACAAAATGTAGTAGGACATCCTCAATACAAAATGTAGTAGGACATCCTCAATACAAAATGTAGTAGGACATCCTCAATACAAAAGGTAGTAGGACATTTTCAATACAAAATGTAGTAAGACATCCTCGCAATACAAAATGTAGTAGGACATCCTCAATACAAAATGAAGTAGAACATCCTCAATACAAAATGTAGTAGGACATCTGGCAATACAAAATGTAGTAGGACATCGTCAATACAAAATGTAGTAGGACATGCTGGCAATACAAAATGTAGTAGGACATCCTCAATACAAAATGTAGTAGGACATCCTCAATACAAAATGTAGTAGGACACTCTGACAATACAAAATGTAGTAGGACATCCTCAAAACAAAATGTAGTAGGATATTATGGCGATCAACAACAATGGTAACACGTTTTCAATACAAAACAAAGTAAGACGTCATTATCAAAATAACACTGTAGGATATCCTAGCGATCTAAACTCACATCTTCACCAGGCTGTGTTACTTTCAGATCTCTTTGCCATTCCTCCAACCCACCCTCTCCCCAAAGCACGTCTACCACGACGAACGAAATATAATTTATACAGAAAATGTATACATTTATCAGTATCTCCCCCCCCCCCCCTCGAGAAAAAAAATCTGTGTAAAATACTGCAACCAGGTACTTAAAAAATAAAGTTGGACCTGATGGCACGAAGTTTTTTTTAGAAACAAACCAAATCCACATCTAAACTAAAAAGAAAACATAATAAAATCTAACCGATAATATTAAAATTAAAATGGTTTTATCCGTTATTTATTGTTATGAGCTCCATAAACTTTAGTGACATACGGCAGCACAAGAGAAAAAAACTGTTTATGTTGCATTTACCTTTCTTGTTGTTTTCATTGGCGACAGCCGTCTCGTTGATTTCTAGTTATTAAAAAAAAATTATTTTAAATAATGTAATAGTTATAAGAACTGCTTTTGTTATTTAAAAAAAAAAAAGAGAATATTCCAAAACCCACTGAAAATAATTTCAGCTGTCGTAAAAAACGTAATTTTTTTTTTTAAATCATTAATCAAGAAAAAATATTTGAAAAGGTATGGCGGTCCAAAAGTGGCTAACCTAATTGCTGGGGTTGTTCATCATTATTATCTTTTCAAGCTCATGCCCGAGACACATGGAGCAGATGAAGTAGAGTTCATCTGTTTCAGTGACCTCGGCATATGAAGAGATAGCCTTTGCGTTTTTTCTAGGGATAGCCTTGGCGTTTTTTCTAGGGATAGCCTTTGCGTTTTTTCTAGGGATAGCCTTTGCGTTTTTTCTAGGGATAGCCTTGGCGTTTTTTCTAGGGATAGCCTTGGCGTTTTTTCTAGGGATAGCCTTGGCGTTTTTTCTAGGGATAGCCTTTGCGTTTTTTCTAGGGATAGCCTTTGCGTTTTTTCTAGGGATAGCCTTGGCGTTTTTTCTAGGGATAGCCTTTGCGTTTTTTCTAGGGATAGCCTTTGCGTTTTTTCTAGGGATAGCCTTGGCGTTTTTTCTAGGGATAGCCTTTGCGTTTTTTCTAGGGATAGCCTTGGCGTTTTTTCTAGGGATAGCCTTTGGAAAAAGGTAAGAATATAAACAGACCCGAAGCGTATATTTATATTATGAACCTCTGCCCTCAACAAACATAAAAAAAAAAATACTTACTTCATACTCTTTATACTTCCTACACACACCCCTCCCCAACCCACCACACATCTTCACTTACCAAAAACAAAATTTTCCTCCTCCGTATAGTTTGCGACCGCGAGGGTGACCGCAACATCTGTTGCTATGGATACCAAACAACAGAGGGTCAGTAAAATAGAACATACAAACCGCAATGATGATTAGTGTTAATTTATTTTGAAAAGATGACGTTTTTTTTTAAAAATAATAATTAATTCTGAGCATACATTTGCTAGCTACGCCAACAAGTTCGGAGCTGGGAGCGCTTGTGGTCTTAGACTGGATAAGGCTCTAAGCTATTTTTTTTATATGTGGCCCACTCTAAGTCCAGATATTATATGTCGTGCTAAATATTTGATATTTTTTTATAAATATTATAATTATGCCGACAAAAAAATGTGTGAAAACTGAAGTGGAAAGAATTTGACCTCCATCACGATTTAAAAATAAATTTTAAAATAAGAAAGAAAATTATGAATAAATGACTCAAAAAAAAATAATTGGCAACAAAATGCACATAACGTTTTTTTTTTTAAATTAAACATAGAGGGAGTGCAAGAAATTGCCATGTAAGAGCTTTTTAAGCTTATACTTAAATCCGGCTCTGGTTATAGCACCCCCCACACACACACCAATCCCGTTGAGAGCACAAACCCATCTATCCCTACTCCCTACTCCCCCCCCCCCCCCCCTCAAAAAAAAAGAAATTGAATTTTTATAGAGAAAAAAATACTTTAAACATTGTCCGACTCCACCCCCCCCCCCCCATCCTACTGAAATTTCAAGTGCCTGCCAATACCCCATCCCCCCCCCCCCCCACCCGGACAAAAAAGAAAGAAACATTCTTCCCCTCTTTTCTCTTCTCTCTCTCACCAACATTCTCTCTTCTCTCCTCTCTTTCTCTCGTAGATAATAATTTACAGTATATTATTATCTATATATATATAATTCTCTTCCGGGAGACGCTAAAAAACAAGCTGTAAGCGCGCTCCCTACCACCCCACCCCTACATGGTCTGGTGAGCTTTGGTTCACGCTAAATGTTGACAGTCGTAGAGCCGGGTTTAGTGACGGTTACTAGGGTCAGATAATTTAGTTTGAAACGATCTTAAACTTAGGGGAGGTAACTAAGAGGAGGCTGTTTTCACGGGGGTGGGGTAGGGGTTGGGGAAAGGGGGTGGGTATCGTCCTTAACGAGCTACTGATAGTGTTTTAAAGCAAATATATTAAGTGGCAGCATTGGTACTGTCGAATTCACAAATTATGAATTACTGAGTAGAAAATAAAACAACTAAATAGCGGCGTATGATACGCCGCTGGTCGGCTCGTATTATTATATATTATATATCATCTCGTAGATAATAGATTGTACGCTTCCAGTGTTTAACTTGAACCACCATATCTTACCCAAACACAGAAGAACCAAAAGAGATTTCATTGGTATTAGATCTGTGTAGTTATCTATGTAGTTATCTATGTAGTTATCTATGTAGTTATCTATGTAGTTATCTATGTAGTTATCTATGTAGTTATCTATGTAGTTATCTATGTAGTTATCTATGTAGTTATCTATGTAGTTATCTATGTAGTTATCTATGTAGTTATCTATGTAGTTCTCTATGTAGTTGTCTATGTACTTCTCCCATAAAGTTTAACAAATGCACTCCTCCTATTTCCGTGCAAAAGTGTATGAACGCGACTATTTCAGTGTGGTGCGCAGGATTATATAGCACAGTATAATAAGCATCGTATAGTATTTTTTAATGTGTACATTAAAATGGAGAAATCCGGTTCTATTTTTAGAAACAGGTAGGCTAGTAGGCTATTAATCTATCCAAGCATGTGAATGGTATGTAGGTAAGTCAAAAGGGGTAACCTTACCTTTTTAAATGTCGAGAAGTCGCATCAAAACTTGGCCTATATTTCAAGTGGTATCGCTAGCTTAATCGTAACCATGGCCCTAACCCTAAGGGACTGTGTATAGGTGACGTTAGTCGTTACACTATTGGAGAAAATTTAATTACACCTGTAAACAGTGCCGGCGCCAGGTTATTTAGGCAAAACGTATTAAAACGCCCCTTTTCAAACAAATTAATTACTAAAACATATGTATAAGAAAACGATTAATTAAAAGTGACATATTAATATATTATCAATTGCAAAAGCTTCTACTAATTACTTCAATTCCAGTTTGCAAGCGTAATCACATATTATTGAAATTGTTGCTAAGTCCACGAGTCTAAGTCTTTGTACTTTACGACATAGCCCCCCCCCCCCCCTTAGAAAATTTTAAGTGCTCTCCCCACCACTCCCGGGAGAAAAAAGTCTGGAAAAAAACACTTTAAAAATTCTTGAAGTGTTGGGCTCTCTGCAGTCCTCCCAAGGTGAGTTCCAAAACGGAACTTACATGTTTTAAGCTTCTGCCTTTAGTTATAATTGTAAAATGTCTATGGGGTCATCCATAAATGACGTAACGCTTTTTTAAACGATTTTTCACCCCCCCCCCTCTCCCCTCCGTCACACGTCGTCACAAAAAACAACTCCCCCCCCCCCCTACGATGACATCACACCTCAGCCTACAACCCCCCCCCCCCCCCCCCCTCAAAAATGCTGTTGAATTTTTCTTAAAATAACGATATTTTTCAAAATCTTGTCTGAACTCTCTCAACATAGATTATTTTTAGCAATTCCTATTTTAATTTATTAATACCGGTTTCTAAAACGCGAAATAACGGCTAAAACTCGTTTTCTAACATCGCTTTTTTATAATGAAAAAAATGTGACGTCACACCATATAACCCCCCCCCCCAATCCCCTTCATCACACACCGTCACAAAATTACGGACCCCCCCCCACCTAAGAGTGTGACTCCATTTATGGACGACCCCTATATTGTGTGACAGTGGCGTAGCGAGGTCGGGTATCACCCGGTGCGGCACTTAATGGTGTCACCCCCCTGAGGCGTAGCGACTCTTCCCGGGGACAAACTTTCAAGTTTTCAATTTGCACCCCCCCCCCCCTCAAACTTTCGATTTGCACCCCCCCCCCTCAAACTTTCGATTTGCACCCCCCCCCTCAAGTTTTTCTCTATATATTTTGCTATTTTTTGCCTTGGTGTCACCCCCCTAAATGGTGTCACCCGGTGCGGTCCGCACCCCCCGCCCCCCCTCGCTACGCCCCTGTTGTGTGATTATGTAACGATTTTATTTTTTGTTTTTGAAAAATAAAAAGGTTATAAATTTTACAGATTCCAACCTAAAATTGTTATATATGAATCCTTTAGGAGAGGGTGAAAAATATGAAAAGACAATTAATTAGATGTTTAATTTACGTCTAAGACTGTATGTCTACTAACACCAGAGGCGTAGCGACCCTTCCCGGGGACAAACTTTCGATTTGCACCCCCCTCAAACTTTCGATTTGCACCCCGCTCAAGCTTTCAATTTATTTTTCCAACCCCACCCCGCTCCCCCTCGCTACGCCTTTGACTAACATTAAGTATTGCAATCTTTAACGGCTACTGAAGTATATATTTTTCAACTTGATAATGCTAAAAAAAAAACTTTTAAACTATTTTGTTTAGAACTTAAGCTCTATATAATTTTTAACATAGCAAATAATAACTTAAAGTTGTATGTATATGTAAGCGGCCAACCTAAGGTGCAGGAATTTGAAATGAATGTAAAGTTAAGCAACGAATTATCTCCCATTGGAAAATCCAAATAACTAAATTTTATTCAAGGGAAATAACTTTCACAAGAATAGCTAAATTAACCAAGTGTAATTAAGACATGTTTGAAAAACACAATAAAAAGATATAAATTTCAT